ACTAAATATTACTTTAGTAAATTACATTAAAAGTTTAATTGCAATCGCACATATCAAAATAATGAACCAGCACACTATCACTATTCATTGATGTATTCTTTATGCCTTAGTTGTTGAAATTTCTTAGCGTTTAAAGTCGTATTTTAAACTTAATTAACTTGAAAAAATCAAACTAAGGCGGGAATTCGTTCATTGTGGCTATTTTTGAATTTTCGTTTGGTTGTTAAATCATTCGCTGGTACTTGATTAGCTAATACATATTCCATGTTTGGCTGAGATATTGCGACTGAGTTGCACCACCTAAATTTGACCGTAATTATAACGATAACCTGTGTTTTTGTACGGAGTTTGACAGATTTATGACTTTTGTCAAAGTAAAAGTAAGATAGTGCAATCTAGCCTTAGTATGTTATAACGTGTTTGATGTTACACACAGGCAGACAGCTAATAAACCTTACAAGCTTCGATTATCACAGTTTTTTAATTCATGGTGACGTTTCATGCTGTCTGTTCTCACTGTACTATGTCAAAATGTAATTAGTATACATTATTGCGCCGAATTGTGTCATTGGATCATTTTCGTTTCATATTACCCGTTGATTATTTCGGAATGCGGCATTTTAACGAGCCATATGTCCCTTCTCAAGTTCAGCCGATAAAAAGTTTGAAACAAAGTTCATTATGGAAAATTAATTAAATAAGTATCTCATTATAATGCATATCTCAACGCCAAAGCTCATTAATTTCTTTATTATGAAACTTCAAAAGATAATAATAAATTAGTATGAAGATCGCAAGAAAAGTCGTACGTTTTGAAATTAGTTGCTACTAATTTGATTGGCTAGAGCACCTTTTTAGATTGTGTGTGTAGTATTTAATAATACTAGTTATTTTAAGAATAACTGGACCGAATTATATTTTGATGTTTAAATATGTAATGTAAACAAATATTCTAAATAATGTAACAATGGAAAGGAAAACTAGTTTTCCGCTTTTCTATAGTAAGGGAAAAACTGGATTTTTTTTGAATGATTCGTAATGAACGTATAGATGACCCACGCTGAACTGTCCCGCCAAACTCAATGACAGGGGGGCGCTACCATCGTTCAACTATATGGTTTCCAACATGGCAAAAATCTGAACCAGCGATCCGGTATTGACGGTGGCGCCCCACTGTCAATGTCATCGACAGGACAGTCCAGTATTTTGGAACTATAACGTAAGATGGATGCTCAATTTTCGTTTTCGTTTCACTGTCATCGAATACCTAGTAAAATTCCGGAAATTACACTTCCATGAGTGTATTTAAAGAACAGGAAATACCGTATTCTTTTATTTAAACGTATTCACGATTGTGGGCATGATACGTAAAATTTCCGTTTCGGTCTGTAACACAAAAATTAATATTTTTCGGAAAACAAAAGAAACGGCTCTTTCCTCGTGGTCTAAATATTTAGCAGGGAAGTGCAACCATGTATCGTCGCCTTTTTACGTGAGACCCGCTTTTGTTTCTGTAAGTAAGAAAGGTAATTTTTTAATTACTAATTTTTTGAAATTGTAACCCCCTTACAAATATAAAGCTACACACGCGTTAAACAGTACATTATAGTCACATTTTTCAACGCGCGTGTAACTTTTAATAATAAGACGGCTTACTTTTCATGAAATAAATGACTGTGAAACGAATAAATTCGTCAGTGCATATTTAATTAAAATCATTTCGTTAATCTTGATAACTGTTTTCAGCAATTAGTTAAGTAATATTATTTATACAGTAATTACAGCTGCGGTCAGAGTTTATGAGCCGGCGTGACAATATGTTGAGTAATAAATAATCTAGCCCACACGGTACTATTATTACTTATTCTGTGCCCACACTTTCCTTTTCTGTTTTTCATGCCAACATTACACAAAGTCACAAAATACAACATTACAGTATTTTTTGTAAAAGAGTAATAAACATACGGCTATCCACACATTATTACAGGTCCAATTTCACTTATATCACTGCTTCGGGACAATAAATGGGCCAGTGCTGAGAAGTAGCAGCGCAAGAAACTCAGTCACTATTGTCAGCCAATATTTTTTCCAGTAATAATTTTACTGTACCCATTTTACAGGAACCCACGCGTACCAGATACATTATCAGGATGCGGCAGGCGATGTCATCAATTTTAGATCGACACACTTTGGGCAGGTTACATCATTCATTAAACGCGTTTCCTGCATGGTCCCATTACGTAGCGTGATGGCAAGAAATCCTGTCGCTGCTCGTGATATTATTTGATCATTATTTTACCTTTATTTAGAAATATCCCCATGATCAAGTGATCAAAAACTTTGTCCATACGTTTTAACAAAAAGACGTAGTACTGCTGGATCTCTTCTTCCAAGGATCTCAACTAAGACTGGTCCTACACTGCCCGCATCCAGGTGCTTTTAGGGACCTTCACCAGATCTTTGGTCTTGGCTATCACATACCACGTCTTCTGGTCCGTGGTTCTCTTCGGTAATTTTTCTGCCCTGATGGTCATGGGCAGAAAAGTTGCCCCAACCAACAGCCATCATTCAACGAGCTATGTGACAGTCAACCACTGTCAAGCTTGTCATAAAAGGTTACTAAACCTTTGTCACCTGTCATCCGCTTTGCGATGGAGGGAAGTCGAACCTTAACTTCGGACTCCTCCTATGTTCTTCTGATTAATTTCGTTGCGGGTCCAATGACAGTTTAACTTTCTCCGGGACAAACTTGAACTTCACTGGTTGGGTTTTTACTGGCGGTCAAGCTGTAGATCCCGGCAACACAGGAGTTGCAGCGGTGAGAACGAGAGGTGGGAATAGTCCCGTGTCAAGTTTGTCAAATTCTGGCAGTAGGTACTATTACTTTACACCAGTTGTTTTAAGATCTACAATACAGCAGTAAATTCCTTCACATCACATGACTACTCTCCATCAAGTGCCTTAAGCACACGTATTAGTGTTAATGATTATGCGACGTATTGATTCGCTTCTAATGCGCTTATCTGTAGCAGCTGCCCACTAATGAAGGTATGATTGTCAACTCGAGCGCACCGCGCAGGTAAGCGCCGGATTATTGGATGGGGGCGTATTGAATCAAGATGCCTTTATGATTCCATGCGTTATTGCTCGATTCATTGTATAGTCAGTAGCTAAGCCAACTGTACATTTTTGTTGCATAATAGCACTTATTACAGATTAGTAATTGCCAGTAAGGCATTTGATTCCGGTATTTGAAAGGAAGGAATCAATGTGTTTAAGGAATAAGGAACATTCCGCGATTTGTAGATCATGACGTGGTATTCAACATCAAAGTGGCTTATTAAAATCATCATCACCACCGTCTTCTCTTAGCCTCTCAATTGTTTTAGCAGTTTTCTTATTGATTCGCTTCTAATGTGCTTATAGAGGGCGTATTGAATTAAGATGCCTTTATGATTCGAAGCGTTATTGGTCGCTTCATTGTACAGTCAACATCATCAGACTGCTTTTTGTGGCAAGATAGCTCTTTTTGCAACAATTTTAATGGCACAGTGTTCACATTGATATAGAATCCTACTACTCGAAGCGTTTGTGCTGTCAGTACTTATGCAAGGTTCTAAGTTGGCCAAGTAAATCAATCTGTTAGATAAGAAACAGAATTCCATTATTTGTCAGTGACAGTATGTCTTCTGAAGAAGCCTTTCGTCATCATCAGATCATTTGTCTCCGCTGCCGGAAAACAACCGTCTCCAATTTACCAGAAACAAAATGATGTTTAACGTGCAATTCTCACGCTGGCTAAATATGATGGAGGGGCCTGATGTTTGCATTTTATACCTAAGTCGCCTCTTACGATATCCACGGAAAAAGTGAAGTAATTCTATTCAGCTATGCTGGAATGAAATACGATGCTTTTAAAAAGTGCCAACAAAATCTTGCTGAACAGCAATTTTAGTGTATCTTCGTAAATGTTTTCGCAGAAGTAAATTGATCTTATCGACATATTTATTTCTCATTTTGCCGTCCGATAAATACTACAGATTTCGTCGTCGAATAATAAATTGCAAATCACGATCCGTTTTTCTTTCAGCTCTAGTCATCGTATTTACATTACAAAAAGAAATTATTTTCACATTTTCTTCTAACAAAGAGGATCGTTTTATCATTCATTAGCCCGTGAGCTTGTTTGTATAGGCTTCCTTCCTCCAAGACCGTTCAAACAATAGGATGACACATCAAGGTAAATACTTACTTTATTAGGTTTACTATTATAATAGTTGCTATTTTGCAACAAAAATGTGTAATCTGATGTGCTGATAGTATAAGGGAGAGTCCGCTAAATTGGACCAGTTTTTATCAATCCCATTTTACACATAGTTTTGTTTTGTCTTTGCTAATGTCCAATAATGTCCATGGTATATAATCTATACTAATATTATAAAGCTGAAGTCATGGAATATGACGNCAACGGTATTATAAAGTTATACTCAGAAATATGAAACGGGACCTAAAATAATATGCATGTAAGCAAAATGCTGCAAAATAAGTACCTAGGTATTCTAACATATTTAGCACTTCTGTCAAGTTTTGTTTAAATAAAAGTAAGGCTTCATTTTAAGGAAAAGACAATGAATAAAATATTGAAATTTAGCATAGTCATGACTCATGGTATGAACAAAGATCAACACATTAGTGTTCATACATATAAAGAGGACGTAGGTATTTTATTGTTCGATTGTTTGGCTCCGAAAGACTTGTCCGATCTAAAAAATTATTTCACCATTATTATAATCTTACAATGCCCCTGATGAACAAAAAAGAGCGTTACTTAGTTATGTATGTCACTACGATATACCAGACAACAATACCAATAAACGTAACCGAGCGATAGTGAAATTTAAACTATGAAAAATCTAAGTACAAGAACAAGCACATCTAAGTATCAAGCACAGAACTAAAACGCAAACTCACTCCGCATTTAGTCGCCAGCCGATACACTATCTTACTTTATCGTCTAGCGGCGACATGATGAATAAAATACAACGATGATATAATGATCGCGTTCTGTGTACGCTTGATCAGTCAGTATCTGTAGTGACAGCATGCGGAGCGGTCTGGTGCTGTGTTTGTGCCTGTGTCTGGGCGCGCGGGGCGAGGGCGGCGAGCGCGAGGCGCGCCTGGTGCGCAGCCCGCAAGGCCCGGTCAAGGGCTACAAGGACCCCGGCGACAGCATATTCGTCTTTTACGGGATCCCCTATGCCACAGCGCCTACGGGAGCTGACAAATTTAAGGTACCTATTTACATTATTCAACTCAACGCCAACATTCTTGAGAGATATAATTTTAATGAAAATGCAAAAATAATGTTAGTCAAGTTTTTTAGTAATTTGTTTACGAGTGGCAAACATTAAAAAAACTCCTAAACCCTAGATCTTTGTGCAGTTGCCGACTAATGATAATGTAGAGTGTGATAATCTTTCTAGACAATTCTATATTATTACAGTTTGAAAATTATATGCAATTCTACATAGGCAGCTGCTTATTTTTCCAATTGATAAATGTTTATCATCTAGTATCATTATATTTATTCGATATTTTATCTATAATTGATACACCTTTTTGAAGTAAAATATTGTGGTTAATATAATAAGTGGTTGCTGTAAACTAATTCAGTAAATTAATTATTTTTTAAAGCAGGAAAATATTCTAAATAACCTCAGTAGAGAAATCAGTAGCCCGTACACAACAACATAGTAAATGTCTTGTGTTAACGTCATGCGATAGATATGAAAAGTAATTAAAGAAATTATAACATCTGAAGTAAAATAATCGAAGGAATATTATTTAACATAATAAATATAAANAATATACAGTGCCTTACACGTGCATTATATTATTTTTTACAGGCGCCTCTTCCTGCCTCAGCATGGTTAGACCCTTTGGAAGCCGTAGATGATACTATTATATGTCATCAAGCCACGCTTAATAATACTACGATCCCAAATAAGATCGAAAAAGAAAACTGTCTCGTGGCAAATGTTTTCGTCCCTGACACTGACCAAAAAAAACTACCAGTTGTAGTATATGTGCACGGGGAACATACCAACGCGGCTTTGGAAATCTGTTTCTACCCAAAAACTTAGCAAGAAGCAAGAAAGTCATTGTAGTAACATTCAACTATCGCCTCGGAGTTCACGGATTTCTTTGTTTAGGCACTGAAAAGGCACCAGGAAATGCTGGAATGAAAGATCAAATAGCACTTTTATATTGGGTCAAAAAGAATATAGCAAGCTACGGGGGAAACCCAGAAGATGTGACCCTCGCGGGCTACAGTGCCGGCTCCTCGGCCGTCGAACTGTTAATGATTTCACCTGCTACAAAAGACTTATTTAATAAAGTGATTCCAGAAAGTGGGTCTAACTTAGCCACTTTTTNTAAAATGACGTAGGTCTGGCGTTCACTAGCTCTTAGTCTATTACGCTTCTAATAAATAAATTAGAAACACTGTGTGATTAAATTTAAAAAAAATTACAAACTAAACGTGCATTCTCAAAAGTTACTTGAAAACAATGAAAAAAATCTTTTCAAAATAAAACACACGTTTTAATTGTCACGGCAAAAACCATATGGCCAATATTCAATGAATTTAGTTCCGTATCGCCGAGTGTTGCAATTACAAACATTCAATAAATACTTTACGAAATATGAGGGTGGTACAATTTACCCGGCGGTACAATATACCGAACTCTCCCCTACATTATATCACCGTGAAATTGTGAATTCCTTCAGTTTATAACATAACGCGTGAAATTGAAAACTAACAGTAGGTTAGGTTACATTTTAATCTTAGGCTGAGTTGCACCACCTAACTTTAACGGTAACTTTATCGATAACCGGTGATTTTTGTATGGAGTTTGACAGATTTTTGGCGTTCGTCAAATTTAAAGTAAGATGGTGCAACCCAGCCTTACTACGTCTAATTATACTGACGGATTTCAATTTTTTTTGGTGACATACTATACATAATTTTAATATCTATTTGTAAATTCTGGCATTCAATGGATGTAAGCTTGGAATATATACGAATAAAATATAAAAACGATATAATATTCGTAGTAGGTACTATCTACGTGCATTGTTTATAATAATAAAAATAATTATGGCAATACTTCAAGCAAATCACAACACAATTTTGGTGCTGAAATACAATAAAATCGTTCCGCTGTAACAATTTGAATAGAGATTTGTACGATATTTGCTCCCGTACTGGAATTAGAGCTCAAACAGTTTCCTATTTCATTCAAATTGTGTTTGAACCGAAATTGCGTTATTTCCAAATAACAAAAATATTTCAGCTATCCATTTTCCGTGTGAAATCACGTCAAGTTTTGAGCTTTTGAATTTTCGCCTGAAATTTTATACTCGTATTTCTATCGCAACGGCATTTTGTGGCCCAACTATTTATAATAGTGTTTATTAGCTACTCAAGAGTGCTCACATGTACGAGTATTAACCGAATAAAAGCGCTGATAATGACATGCATTGACTGACTGAAATGTTCAGTCGTCAGCACATCAAGCTGTACATTTTTGTAGCAATGACACTTATCACAACTGACACAGTGTTTACATTGGTACATAATAATTACTAAACATGCATTGCATATTATGTGGAATGTGACAAGAATACAATGAAGATAGGTAACAAAAGAAAATTATAATGCGTTCTGTTGTCGAAGCCTGTTTAGCTTTTTACAAGTTGATTAATTAATCTAACTTCAATTGTAGACTTTGATTGAGGAAAGTGGATGCCATTTCAAAGTATTTTGGAAAAAAGGCTTATAATAATATGAGATAAGCTTTTTTGTAAGCTAACGGATTTTTTTTTTCAATATAAGATTTGCCAAAAGTACGTAGGCATGTTTTATTATGTCCAATGTCGCTGCACGTGATCCGAAACACACTTGGTAGATTTTTCAAAAATAGTTTTTTAGATGTGAACTCAGTTAATTCTTAAAATTACGAGTTTATCACTCATAAATATTTATAAACTCTTTAAAGAAAAGTTAATATTATATTCGGAAGTATACAAAGTCATATTTATGGAGCTATCATCTCTGCGTCTATTATAATGAAATTTTAGAAGCGGAGTTTGACTCCGGCGTCGGCAACTTTTAACTACATCTAACCACCCCTATCATCAAGTTGCCAGTAAGTTTCGCGACTGAAAACGATAGCATAGATAAAAGACCATCTTAAGGGATGCTGGGGCTCTTTACAAAGTTGTCATCATTGAGGCCACAGGACGTTCACTGCTAAACATAGGCCTCCCCCAATGCCTTCTTGCTACCTTTATGAGGTCATCGGTCCACCTTGTGGGTTTTGGTTGGACTCCACTCCAGAACCTTGGTGCCCCTATCGGCTGTCAGTTCTACGTACTATGTGCTTGCCCATTGCCACTTCAGCTTGCAAATTTTTAATAGTGTTTGAATCACTTTATAGGAAAACTAACGGCCGCCCGCGACTTTGTACGCGTGGATCCCGTTTTACCCCTTTAGGAGTGGAGTTTCGTAAAAATCCTTTCTTAGCGGATGCCTACGTCTTAACATCTACCTGCATGCCAAATTTCAGCCCGATCCGTCCAGTGGTTTATTAGACTGTGCGTTGATAGATCACTATGTCAGTCAGTCAGTCGGTCACCTTTGAGTTTGATGTATTTAGATATTGATGATTCATCCTTGGGACTAGGTTTAGATTTATTTACACAACCTTACAATTTGTTGTAAAGTCACCCTTATTACATAAAATCTACTTCAGATACAACAGTTAATCTCATTTCATATTTATGTACATTTTATATATTGCTCTCCAATATTATTGATACTTTATCGAAAGCATTTTTGTCAGATCCCAATAGGTACCTAAGTAATCTTAAGACAAATAAAGTTAACAAACGAAGCAAATACAGCGCAGGTGTTCCAGAAAATAATATTTTCTTTTACCGCACCTTTTATAGTGTTTCTTGTACAGTTTCTGTAACACAATATTCTTTACTTGCAAGTTGTTTCTGAGTTACAGTTTTGGTAAGTTCTGCATTGTTAGATGAAAACAGATGCAGGTTATGATTTTATAAATAGCAGCATTTTTTAATAATACTGTTATTCGTCATTATTAAGTAACATAAAATATCTACCTACTTTAATTCGAAAAAAGACAACTTAGATGACAAATTATGGCAGCCAGAAAACTATTTCTTTTAGAAATAAAAAAATCTTCCAAGCTATGAATAGTTTGTTAGCGACAGTTGTTAAATATAGAAAAAAAAAACAAAGAAAAAAAGATGTTCGTCACATTAATATTTTGACCATGCAGAATTTTAATTACGAACCATCGAGCAACAGTCAAATCTTATTCAGCTTATGGCTACAAGAAAATATTATATTACGTCAAACATAAAATGGTAAGAAAATACATTTATTGTCTATCTAATAAAGTCTCCAAGTAGTTGCCGAGGATGTAGGGGAACATTAGGTACCTTATTAACCCCTTAACGACCTGGCCTGTAGCAATAAATCAGGTCTCGACCGACGACGACCTAACAGGCCATGTCTCTTAACCTAGGCTTCCTAAATTACTTTGGTCAATTTGCCACTATTTCTAAATGTGTTCTGTCACGACAAAATGAAGCATCAATTTACTACTGAATTCAAGCAATACTAATTAGAAGTCAAAGCTTTTTTTAACAATAGTACTGACTGACTCACTCACTCATCACGAAATCTCAGAAACTACAAGTGCTAGTTGTCTCAAATTTTGCATGGGGGTTCTTTTTTCAGGACGTGCTCACTAAGTACGGATTTTACGAAACTACACCCCTAAGGGGGTAAAACGGGATCCACTCGTACGAAGTCGCGGGCGGCCGCCAGTTTTCAATAAAAAAATCTCTTTTAAATAGGTAACAAGTTACGAGTATACTCGGTTACTCAACAACAAGTAACAAAATATCTTGCTTGTTTTATTTTTCACAACTAAACGCTGAGATTCTAGGATGACTAAAAGGGACAAATGAACCCCGTACCACTTTGTGAGGTAGGCTTGTTATGTGTGTCAATTGCATGACCTTGCCCTCTTTGCCTATCTGTAATTGCGAGGCAGGTTTCTGTCTGATAGTAGTTTTTACTTTCCGCAAAGGTTTTTATGGGGACAGTTGTATTAAGATAATCTAAATACGGTATAGATTGAGATCTATTTAAAAATGGGGCTCCCACATAATCTATATACAATGTGTCCGGGCATGTAGTGATCAAACTTTAAGGGCGAAATCTAGGGACAATTTTATCGATAAAAATACTTCAAATTTGGGGCTTGACCCATTTATCGCAAAATTGCAAGGATTTATTTTTTTAATTTTTAGTTTTCACCTCTTCCTTCAAAAACAAGTGAAAGCGTGGGTAGCTTAACATTAATAAGCAAATATTTTATATCATGCGATAGCCAATAAAATTATCTTTTAGTAGAAGTAGAAAACAGACACAAGTTTAATACATTTAATGGGAGTAAGAATGGATTTAATTAGAAAAATACATGATTTTTTTCACTTCTTTTTCAGTTATTTTCCAACACAAGAAAAACCAGGTCTTTAAAGTATATTTTATTTGCATTATATTATTAGTGTTTGAGCTATTCCACAAAACGAATGTAAATTTATTAGCCTACGTCTATTAGTTTCGACGCAATTGTTGAACAAAGATACCCCTTCCCAGCCGGTTCCATAGAGCTGCTAACATGCGAAAATGCACTGCCTGAAAGAATCACACAACCTATTCCGACGCGCTATGGAACCGGTTGAGAAGGGGTATCTTTATTCAACAATTACGTCGAAACTAATAGACGTAGACTAATAAATTTACATTCGTTTTGTAGAATAGCTCAAATACTAAAAATACAATGCAAATAAAACATACCTTAACGACCTGGTTTTTTCTTGTGTTGGAAAATAACTGAAAAAGAAGTGAAAAAAGTAATGTATTTTTCTAATTAAATCCATTCTTACTCCCATAAAATGTATGAAATTTGTGTCTGTTTTCTTCTTCTACTAATAGATAATTTTAGTGGCTATCGCATGATATAAAATATTTGCCTATTTATGTTAAGCTACCCACGCTTTCACTTGTTTTTTTAAAAAGAGGTGTAAACTAAAAATTAAAAACTTAAATCGATGTAATTTTTCGAGAAATGGGTCAGGCCCCAAATTTGATGTATTTTTATCGATAAAATTGTCCCTAGATTTTGCCCTTAAAGTTTGATCACTACAAGCCCGGACACACTGTATATAAAAGAAAGTCGTGTTAGTTACTCCACTTATAACTCAAGAACGGCTGAACCGATTTAGCTGAAAATTGTCAGGGAGGTAGTTTAGAGCCAGGAGAAGGACATAGGATACTTTTTA